CAAATGCAACCACAGGAATATAATCACATATCTTAAAAACCTCTCTTCTGTTACTTGAGAACATTCTTCAATTGAGATGAGCTTTTCCCTCCATCCACTTAAATTACCGAGACTACACTGATTTTTTTTCTCCTCTAGGCAAGCATTTAATTTTTAAGAGATGTTTTCTCTAGAGTCAGGCTGTGCAGTTGGGCAGCGGCGTGGATGTTAAGTATGTGTGAGGTGAGGTTCATGGCCAACAGCAAGCTTCCTCTCCTGGCCTCTTAATGGGAACAGGGCAACAGCCTCTGCCCCATCCTTCATGAAGGTGGCTGCAACCCCTCTGTATCCCACAGGGGGAGGAGCAGGGCCTCTGTGGATGGGGATCAGGACACCTGACGCTGCTCCCAGCTGGCCTGCTAATTTACTCTCTGGCAGTGGGAAAGCCCCTAACGACCCTGGGCTTCTGTGCAAACTATAAAACAGAAATGCTGTGGGGGATGAAATACCATAAGAGGTTTTGGAAAAGTTTGTTAAAGAGAACAATGGGCTGTCATAAAAGGAACTGACAGTCTCAGGTGCTTTCTAGTTTATTTTTCTAAAGTGGACTCTAGCAATCACCATAGGTGTGTTTTTTCCCCTCTGCCTGACTCTGAGTCTTTTGTTCCTGACTATTTCTGGGGTCAAATACTGGAAAAGAATAGAAAAACATAGGAAAAAGAGAAAAACAAAGCCCTTAATAGAAGCCTTCAGTTAAAAACAACCCAAGCGAACTTCTCTATAATGATGCTTGCAAAATTTGACTAAGACCAGCAAACTAGGACCAGAAAGGTTCATCACTCATCTCTCCCTCCATTGTTTTCAGATAAAATTAACTAACCTCTTGTTTCTCCCTAAAGTACTAAGTACCTGCGGGTGTCATGGCATAGTCCTAGGTGCTGGTGTGATGGGGTACTGAGTGGGAGTCCCGAGAAATAGGAGAAAATCCCCAAAACTTTAATTGGAAGGAAGTGGATGATACAGTGTTTAAGACACTTTGCATAACAATGGCAAGTTAATTGCTGTGCCTTTCTTGAATGCAAGGCTGCTGCCCAGGACAGGTATATGTGACTTTTAAGAGCATATAGTGACTTGTAACACAGCCAGGGGAGGTGGATGACCACCCCAGATGTCTGTGCATCATGGGGAACTCTTGCCCTGACTAAAGATGGCAGCTGAAAGAAGGTAAAAGATACAGGTGGAACTGGCAAAAGTGGTGCATCATAGGAGGGGCTGGCTATGAGGTCACAAAGGACATTCCAAGCATTTGAAATGAGGGTGGGCTGAAAGAGAGGGGGAGTGCATCACAACAATTAGCCACGTGGCCTGAAAGGACGTAGGACATGTCCAGTTGGTTATGTGGTCTGCTGTGCAGGAAAGGGTCTGCTACCATGTCTGGTGTAGGAGAGGAGACCTGCTGGGAAGCCTGCCTGAAGAAGATGGTGGCAGAGCTGACAGAGCTGTGTGGGGACCTTCCTAACCAAGAACAGACGTGTGAGAGATGCCTGGGGCTGAACTGTGGCCTGGAACACTGAGTTATAGACTTCTGCTTCTCTGAAGGACATATGGAGAAGCCACTTTCTTGGGAAGTGTGCCACCTTGGACTCCACCATAATCCAGGGTAACATGACACATGTTTCCCTGAACCATTACACGAAGGCTGAGAACAACGTAATCAGACCCCAAAGGAGAGAGCTCCTAAGAGAAGATGGTGACTCTGAAACCCACAAGAGCACCTTCCAGAGAAGGAGATCCATTTGTGCTGCTGATTTAAGAACAGATACGGATATAGGGAACTTCTGGGCATGGTTTTGGCTTATAGCCTCTTGGGGAACAAGGGAGTGCCATGTCTCATGGGAGAACAGGGCTATGAGCTTCCACCTCCTGGAGGCTGGAATCCTGTAAATAAAAACCTGTTTCTCTGAATACTAATTGTTGGGTCATGTGTCAAGGTACCATGTGGCTGAGCCCCAATTTTCTCAGTTACACTGGCGATACAACAGTAACTTTGGACTACAAGTTCAGTAAAGACCTTGCCTTCAGGAGGCTGAAGAGGAGATAGGCAGGATAAACAGGCACGGTGGAGGCATGTGTAACTGAGATAACCGCAACTGTGATAAGTGACACTAAAAAAGAAGCAACAAAACCTTTCAAAATTTAGAGACTCAGAGAACATTCTTCCAGCAATTTCTTGATTTGGGATTTCATAACCTCTGCTCATTCCTGTGATTAACCACTTTCAAAGTTAAGAGTTGCTTATTTTTTATTTAATAGCATTTATGCTTTCCACTCTCATGTTATTTTTCAGGAGTGATAAAGGAAAGATGGTTCTCTTTTTCCAGTTGTAAGAGCCCTTCAAACACTGGCAGCAGCTTCCAAATAAAATTAGTGTCCATGCTTAAAGCATAATGCATAACATTAATACAGCCTCAGGTGTTTCACTTTAAATTCACTTTAAAAACCAGTGCTGAGCTTTTACAGAGGTAAATGTCCTATATTTTTCCTACAAAGCATTAGCAATAGTTCTCATGAAATCAAAGTATTTTCACTACCTTAGTTTAAGTGATCTGGTAGGAGCCCTGAAAAAAAGAGTCATTCATAATATCAAAACACAACAGCGCCATGTCAGAAATACTGGCACATGCATGCACAAACATCAGTTACCTGTCTCCTTTTCTGCTGGGCCTAAAACATAAGAAAAGACAATTTAGGAGAAAAGCAAACTCTACCCATGTTGCTCAAATAATACCAAAGGCCAATCAAGCCAAGAAGTTAAATTTGACTTAGTTCTTGGTCTGATCCAAGCATAAAACAAAGACTCTTTATTTTTTAAGATACAAAAGAGGTAATATTGTAAAAAGCATGGAAGTTTTTCCCATGTAATAAGCATGCATTTTGTTGTTTTTCAAAATGAGACTTCTCAGTAGTCCTATCTGATCAGATTTCTGTGGTTCCATTGTCTAGAATATTCTCATACTGGACTAGAGATAAGAGAGTGTGACTCCAGAAAGGGAGAGGGTGGGACGACTGGCCACTGTGGTCCTATTGACTCAGCTCACTGACCACTTGATCTTATTAGAAGTTTTCCTCTAATGCAGGACTGTTTTAATGCATGACCCAGAAGAATAACTATACCTTTTTGATCACCAGTGTTGCCATGTCTGCCTATCTGATTAATAAAAAAGCCCATGTTTGTGTACAAATGATATTCTCCATTTGTCCATATTACAAGGTACTCTATGACTAAGAATTAAGCACAGAGATAAACTCTCTCTCTTTCTCTCTCTCTCTCTCTCTCTCTCTCTCTATATATATATATATATATATACACCATATTTTTCAGACTGTAAAATGCACTTTCCCATGCCAAATTTGGGAGGAATAATGGTTGTTAATGCTGCTGCTGAGTTCGGTTTTCATTTACATTGGTGAAATATTATGTTATTTATGTTATTAAATATTTTATCACATTTTTTGCTTCACAATTTTTTTTCCTATTTTCCTCCTCTAAAACCTAGGTGCATCTTTGGTCTGAAAAATGAGACACGGTGTGTATATATACACACACACTGCATATGTTTTCAGTATTGTTGGATAAGGTAGAAGTCAAAACAATTAACTAAAATAGACAGTTAACAAAAACATTCTCATTTTTTTAGATAGGGTTTGTAATAGTTAGATAAAGCAATATTGTGTTTATTCGGGTTATACACACACATTTTTTCTTTGCCAGATTTGAAAGGTTTTAACATGTCTATTTTTATATTAATTCTTTTGATCCATGTATACAACACCCACTATTCCCAAAACATGAAAACTATTTGAATGAGTATTCAAAATGTGAAAACCAATCTGTTTATCTTCCACTTTCCCCCAATGATCTAATATTATTGCTTGTGCTTTAACACAACATGATATCATAATTAATGATGTTAAACTGGTAACTAAGGAGGTTTCATGTTGTTACTCTTGTGATATAATATTGGTTGCTATAGTGATGGGATGGCTTTTTTGTTAATCACTCAGGAGGATGGTTATCACACGCTTGTTACAAAGATTGATCAGATTTGGAGAGAGAAAATGATAAAACACAGCCCATTATAATCAACTTTTTCATTGTCCCAATTTTCATGAAACTATCATAATAGTAACTAATTAAAAAATTTATGTACAGTTTAATATTAAAGGTTACTAAATTTTTTAATAGATGATTTATTTTTTACTTTTAAACATAAATATTTGACATTGCAATCTTTTTTCCTCCCTAAGTTAATGCTACATGTATTTATTGCACATGATAATTTTATAATTAGAGCAGAAAATTTAAGGTCCTTTTATTCCTTTTAATTATATCAATCAAAAGATGTTTGGGTAAAAACTGTGTCACTTTGCCAAAATTTTAAATCCACTTACTTCTAAACATCTTAAATTTCAGTATCTTTAATGAGTAAAACCTGGAGAAAAAAATGTAGTTTTCTCAAGAGATCTAATCTTCCAAATGCATTGATATATTATAAGCAAAAGTTGCAAGGAATTCTATCAGTTTATTTTAGCTCTTGTGATAATCAACAAGTTTCTTCCTTTTCTGAGTGACAATGCAGAATGGAAAATACAATTATGTAATACTATACTGTTACTGATGAGGAAAGAACACACTGTCCATAGTTTGAACACTAGACATACAGTAATGTCAAAAATACAACCCAAGAAAACACCTTTTGGCTTCTTGCAATCTCAAAATAAGAACAAAGGACAACTTAAGCACGAATCCTGGGTCTTTCATTCAAGCAGAGTCCCAGGAGGCATATTAAAGCAATGAATAGGAAAAAGCTCTTCAGTTCACCAGCTGAGATTTTAATGAGACATTTCCCTTTGCCATGGTACAGGTTTGTTCAGGAAACGAAAGGGCTTCTCACAGAAAATTCAGTTAATAGGCATTGTTGGCTCTCACTGACATGTCGGCAATTGCTCACTGCACTGACCTTCTATTTTGGCATATTCTGTGAGTCTAGTGTAATTGATCAAGGCAGCTTTCTCCAGACATTTTCTGACCACTTTTTTCACCTCTTCTGCTGGTACAGGAGTTGCAATATCTTTCATTAAAACCTAAAACATTAAAGAAAGAGAGAGAGAGAGAGAGAGAGAAGGAGAGATAGATAATTGCATAAAATACTAAAACAAATTGTTCTAGACCTATTAGTAGGAGGGGTGTGAGGTAACATTGGGGGAGGTAATGAGTCAGCACCTCCCAACTGGGAAGTAATCCTCCAGTCTTGGCTCCTCCTGTCTCAGCCTCATTTGTGCACATCAAAACCTCACACAGGCCAAGCCACCATTCAGTGTGACTGTCACTCTTCCTTCAGGGACCTGTGACACCACTGAAGCAGCTGTTTCAGATCAGGATTACCATCCTTGGGACAAGTAATAAACAAAGTTTGTCTTTTGCATCCCTAGCTTAAAAGCTTTAAATATTTTGAGCAACACAGATGAAAACAATAACAAAACTCCATTAAGAATAAGCATCTTCTTACTGTGCTCTATAAAAATCAAGACCACTTTCACTAATTAAACTTTAGTTACTATGATATACTGAGGAGGAAAAAAACACCCTTCTTAGTGAAATGTAGTATCAAATGTTAAAATACATAAAAACTTTCTGAATTTAGAAAAAAAATTTTATGTTGGGTTCCTAATTTGTGTTTTTGGATTTTTCTTTTAAAAATATAACTACTGGCAAGGGGAAAATAAAATTATATCCAAAATTCAAAGTGCACTGTACTTAAATACTCATTTAATGACTCCAATAGTGTTCCTTTGAACTTTCCTGGTGATAAATGGCTCACAATAATTTCAATTACTTTATTTTTCCATGTAGCTAATGGTTTTTTTCTTGCTTTGCTTATACTCAAATTATAAAGTATATAGTAAACTATTATTGTAGAGAAGACAATAACTTAAGTGTTTTTGCTATCCTATTTGTCCTTTATCATAAGGAAATAATAAAAAATCATGAAAATGCCCATTTTCTGCTTTATTACTTCATTCTCTTTCAGTCAGCATTGGTGCTTATAATCTCAAATTTGTTCAATCATTCTAGCACTGATAATCCTTGACAACATAATTTTATACTGTTAGGCAAGGATTCCTTCTGAAAACAGTAAATTGTCATTTAAAAGCTTCTTCCCCATCAACTTCATTTAGTCTTCAAACTCTCATATTAAAAAATCTTTAACGCAGACGTACATTTACACTTTATTTTGCACTGAACATTACTTTTTATAGCCAGAAAAATCCTTAGAGTAAAAAAGATACACACAGTACTATTTTTAATGTTATTATTACTAAAATTTGAACTTAAGACTAACTTTGTGCCACATACAGAATCACAAACATACTACCAGGCCTTACCATGGCAGCACACTTTTAAATACAAATAGTTGGTAAAATTAGAATGTGTTTATCTGTTACAGAGGTGAGTCCAGGGTTGAAATCAAGTAATATTTCTTACTATCTAAGAGTTGGACACTTAATTTAGAGAGGTGGGAACTGAAATCTCTTTCCTGGCAAGTGCAGAAAAGTGTTGACCAGTGCAAAAAGGAGACACAACCTCTCTTTCACGTTTCCTCCCCTTGTTCTCCAAGGTATCATAAGTATCAAGAATTCATCTGTAGCCCTGGCTGGTGTGGCTGAGTGGATTAAGTGCTGGCCTGAGAACCGAAACTTTGCTGGTTCAATTCCCATGTGCCCATGCCTGGGTGGCAGGCCAGGTCTCCAGCTGGGGTCATATGAGAGTCAACCCACTAATGGATCTCTGGCATGTTGATGTTTCTCTCCCTACCTCTCTCCCTCCCTTCCCTTCTCTCACGAAGTAAAATAAAAAAATAAAAATAAATAAGAATTCACTTGCAGGTTTTATTTTATTTTTCTAAGATATCAGTAAGGACAAAGCCATGAAAATGAAGATACAGCTTTTATCAGTTCTCTCTCAATTCGGTAAGAGACCTGATTCGTGACTATAACTGGAATAAAGGTCACTGTTCATCCTTCCTCATCAGTGCAGGGCATGAGGGCATCTCTCCTTCCACTAACTCTGCCCTTTGGAAGGTAGGGAGGGGTGGAGGGAGCTCTACCATGGAAACCAGTTCACAGAGGGGCTGCAGGAGGTACTCGGCATGGGATGCAGTTCCCAAAAGTAAAGCTATCTTTCAGGATTTTATCATATCTATGATACCTTAATGAACAGGATAAAATCTATACTTTGAAAAGCTTGGGTTGTATTATAAAAATTATAATACAACAAATAATTCCCACAATAATATTTGTATTATACCAATGCACAATAATCAAGGATAACAAAAGGATACGTAGATAAAACCAATCTATAAGTGAAAGACCTCATTTTAAGCATTAGTTCTAGCCCTCATCTCAAGTCCTTAAGTCCCTGAGAATGTCTTTCCTTTTTGCTTTTCCTAGAGGGGCTAATAACAATGCAATACCTAGAATTCATTGGGCAGGAAAATGGATAGGAACAAGTACTTGAAGCCGATAAATAAGAACCTGAATAATCAAAACATGGGCTACAGATGACCCCTAGATGTTATCCCTTAACACTGATAGTGACTAGGAGGTGTCCACACTACCTGTTAGCTTCCAATGGGCATATGGATAGTTTTATAGACAGATGAAAATGATACTTCCCTTCCAAACCCAGTCTACCATGAAAACAGGAGTGGAGAATATACTTTCATCAATGAACAATGTTTTCCTTTTAAATATTTTACTGTTTATGCTATTATAGTTGTCCCAATTTCCCCCCTTTACCCCCTCCACCCAGTCTGCCCTCCACTCCCAGTCATCGCCACACCATTGTCCATGTCCATGGGTTATGCATGCATGTTTGTCCACTCCCTTAACTTTTTAAACTTTTTTTTGATTATGCCATTACATTTGTTCTATTTCCCCTCCTCCATTCCCCTCCACCACCATTCCCCACCTTTAGTTCATGAACACGTGTCTCAAGTTCTTTAGATTCTATATTTCCCCTACTATTCTTACCCTCCCCCCTATCTATTTTCTATCTACTGTCTATGCTACTTATTTTCTGTACCTTCTCCCCCATTCCTCTTCTCCCACTTCCCTGTTGCTAACCCTCCATGTGATCTTCATTTCTATGGTTCACTCCTGATCTAGCTGTCCTCTTAATTTGCTTTTGTTTTAGGTGTGGTTCTTAGTAACTGAGTTTGCTGTCCTTTCACTATTCATCTTTTTTATCTTCTTTTTCTTAGGTAAGTCCCTTTAACATTTCATATAATAAGGGCTTGGTGATGATGAATTCCTTGAATTTGACCTTATCTGAGAAGCACTTTATCTGTCCTCCATTTTAAATGAAAGCTTTGCTGGATAGAGCAATCTTGGATATAGGTCTTTGGATTTCATGAGTTGGAATACTTCTTTCCAGCCCCTTCTTGCCTGTAAGGTCTCTTTTGAGAAATCTGCTGACAGTGTGATGGGAACTCCTTTGTAGGTGACTGTCCCCTTATGTCTTGCTGCTTCTAGAATTCTCTCTTTCATTTTAATCTTGGCTAATGTAATGATGATGTGCCTTGGTGTGTTCCTTCTTGGGTCCAACTTCTTTGGTACTCTCTGAGCTTCCTGGATTTCCTGGAAGTCTATTTCCTTTGCCAGATTGGGGGAGTTCTCCTTTATTATTTGTTCAAATAAGGTTTCCACTTGTGGGTGTTCCTCTTCCCCTTCTGGTACCCCTATAATTCAGATGTTGGAACGTTTAAAGATGTTCTGGAGGTTCCTAAGCCTCTCCTTCTTTTTTTGAATTCTTGTTTCTTCATCCTTTTCTGTTTGGTCATTTCTTCCTCCTTCTGGTCCACTCCTTTGATTTGAGTCCCAGTTTCCTTTCCATTACTGTTGGTTTCCTGTGCATTTCCATTCATTTCAATTAGTTTAGCCTTCATATATTCCTCTAATTTGTGACTACAATCAACCAGTTCTGTGAGCATCCTGATCACCAATGTTTTGAACTGTGCATCTGAAAGTTTGGCTATTTCTTCATCGCTTAGGTTTATGGGCTCTGGGGCTCTGAGTTGTTCTTGAGCCATGTTTTGATCTGTTTGTGCCTGTTACCTATGAGGAGAGGCGCCTTGGTGTTTACCTGGGTGGGGCCACCCAGGTCGCAGGTTTGTGACCCTGTATGTGGGGGCGGGGTCAGAGAAGGAGCAACGGCGGTCCTCTCTGTCTGCCTAGTCCGCCTCCCCACTTGCCCCCGCCTGCTCATCCGAGAGCAAATGTGCGAGTCTGCCACCCTGTGCCAGTTGCTGGGGCCTGCGAGATCTGTCTCAATGCTCGCCTCTTCACTGGTTTATCTGCATGCAAATGCGCCAGCAACTGCAGACAGCCAGCAGCGCCTCTTCCCTGGGTTCCTCCCATAGCTAGCTCGCACCTGGGATCCATGCCCCGGCTGCCTGTGCACCGCCTGGATCTTTTTTGCCCGACTGGCTCCACTGCTGGTTTCGCCCCTCTCACCGGTTTAGCTGAGCGGTCCGTTATTTCTAGACTCCGTATTCGATTTTCTGTGTGGTTTGGTTGTGTTTATTGTTGTTAAAACTTTGTTTTTTTTTTTATATTTGGTTGCACAAGGATGAAAAGTGTTCCCACCTACGCCTCCATCTTGGCGGAAGTCCACTCCCTTCACTTTTCAACCAGTGCCCACTTCCTCCCTCCCCTCCTACAGCTGTTACCATGTTTCTATGCCTCTGATTGTATTTTGCCCCATTAATGAACAATTTTTTGGCATGGATATAAAACCTCATTTGCTATTTATTTTTTGAGGGGAAATTAATTTATATAGTTCATGAATTCATTTAGAGCAATACACAGGTTGAACTAAAACAAATTTTGAGATGAATTTAGATTAAAAGGAATAATATGTTTGTGAATATTATATGATAAACTTATAAATATGAGGAATATGACAGGTAGAAGTACAAACAAGTCAGGGGAGATAATGAAAGACAACTATCTAGTCTGAAAGATAGTTATACTTAACTGAATAAAAAAAAGACTATTTCATGAGAGGAGAAAAAGGTAGAAAAGAACAAATTAACTACCAAAAAGATGCCATCAACTCAGCATATGATAGCAGCATAGGCTTCAGAAAGGTTTTGGGAAGGAAGAAGCAGTATGTAGGAACATTTTGAATGTAGCAAGAAAGTGTCAGAAATTGATGAAATGCAGTGTACTGAGAGGACAACACACTCATGACAAATGAGACTGTCTGCCTAGTTCAATAGCTAAAACACACAGTGACTGACAATGTGAACAGTGTTTACAAAGTAATGTTTGAACATACCCTTTCGAGTAAGGAAAGCGTAGCTTTTAGAGCACCTTCAGGCCGTCCAAAGGGAAAGCAGTATCTTCAAAAACAAAAGGAGGAACAAAAAGTCAAACATTTCATATTCAAACTGCTAAATAGTACCCTTTACTATTACCTGGCATGATTTCAGAATAATGAAAAGTGGTTAAAATAGCATCAGCCCACCTGGGAGAATTTTAATGTTGACATTTGCCTAGTCCCATGATTTAAATGTCTTAGACAATAAGGGTACAAACTGTGGTGGAAAAGGTCCTAAAGTTTTGATGATACAGGTATAGAAAAAATACAGTAATGAAGAGAGAACTACTAGGCTCCTATGAGTGAAGAGATACTTAAAATGCATTCTCTACCAATTTTGTACCCCCCTTTCCTGACATTTGTCTGTCTACACTGGTGCCTAACTCTCCACCCTCCTCAAACAGCACACCCAAACCTTCTGCAGCTGTTTTGCCAGCAGAGTCATTTACCGGGAAGATTTCTAGCCCACGCATTCCTAATACACCAACAACTGAAGGGCAGGTCAATGGCTGGGAGCTTGAAGTGGGTTCCTCAGAAGTTAGTGTCACATGGAGGTGACAGATGTGTTGCTCTTTCCAGTGGGGTCCCTCTTCAGGTCACTTTCCATTTAAGGAGTACAGAATGTCAGGGCTACTTGATCCTGCTGCAAACTCCTTGCTTTGCTGAATGTCCCTGACCATTGCTACTGTTCTAAGATCAAGTGCTAGAGGAAGCTGGGCTGTCCTCAGGCTGCTAATTTGCTCGGACTTAGAAATCTCCAAAACAATAACTTGAAAATAAGTTTACATCTTCACATGTCTTTTGCCATTATTCAGGAACTTTAGTGGACATATTATCTAAGATGTAATTAACAATGAATTTCCTTTCATGTTGTTATTTGTACAAGATGCTCTACAACAGTACTTGTATTTTAAGTTAACTTTGTTTTACAGGATCAAATTTTAATGAAAAAGAAAAAAGACTGATTTCTCACAAAGCAGAAATTAAATATAAAGACCGAGTTTTAGTTTCATGAAACTTATTTTTCTCAGATATATGTCATATAAATCTAGTCACTCAAATTTTTCTTCAGAATACTGTTCATTTCCTGCTGTTTCCTGCATGTAATCTTGCCTCTTTGCAGCCTCTTAGCCTCTCCCACATATAAAAAGACCACAGCGAATTTATTTTGATAGTTTTTTGCTGTGCAGTGGTGCTTCTTAGCCATTAGCAAATTAGCAGAGTAGCTTTAATCATTTTGTATACCATAAACCTTAATCCACATTTAAATAAAACATAAATTAGTTTCTTGTTGTCCCCTCCTCTCGCTTAAATCGTTTCAGTGCATTTGCATAATCCACTCATTGTCTTGCCTATTGTTTATTTCCATTAACCTGTGGGTGATGCATTTTATGAATGGAATGTTACTGATCCCCAGATTACATTTAGCATTTCAGGGCTCCGAGGTCCCACTGGGCATGTTCTGAATTAGCATTAGCTGCCCATGATGTGTAAATAATTCAACACATTTACAGAGTGCAAGTAATCCTGAATCAATAAAGTACAGAAAATAACTACACATAAGCTTAATTAATCTTTACAAAACAAGTTTTAAAAGAAGGGAATCAGTTTTGTTTTGCTTTTCAGATAGATATTTTTGGTTTTTTACCACTTTAGCAGCTCTATAATAGCAACATAAAATGGGAAATACTCAATTATATAACAAATTCAACCAAGTTTAATCCCTAACTAGAATAAATTGACATCCTTCTTATTCCCACTTTAGTAAATTAATTACAAAGATAAATGAGCCTGCAGAGATCTGTCCTATAATGAAGACATTTCTTTATTTAGCCACTTTTAGACATAGTATTTATTTTTATCAAAGTTATTTATCCACATAGCCTACAAGGAAACTTCCTCTAAAAGGCTTTTTTATGAAAAACAAAAGTCCTTTAGGTCAGTTATACCTCACTTACTTGGTATTTCAGTTTTAGATTATTCTACAATCCCGCTATGGAAGAGAAGCACTTAGCTTTTAACAAATAGCTTTAAAGATGTAGGTGACATAAATAAGCTACACATTTCAAGCATTCAATGTATAACTTATGACATATATCTATGAAATCACGACTACAGTCAAGGTAAGGTGCATATCCATGAACCCCAAACATTTTCTCCCCAATTCAGGGGCCAATGCAACTCTGAGTTACTTTTCATCATCTGTATTAGTCTGTATTTTCTATAATGAAAAGGAATCATATAATACGTACTTTTTTGGGTCTCAGTTCTCTTACATAGTGTATTTTGATATTCATTTGTGCTGTTGTATGTATCAGTAGTTCACTCCTTTTTATTCCAATACATTGTTTTTTCATTTGTTGATGGTCATCTAGTTTGTTTTTTTATGCTGGCTATTATCAGTAGTCCTAGTATGATTCATGTTGTCTTTGTGTGAACATATGTTTTCATTTCTCTCGGGGTACTGCCTGGGTGGGGGGAATGGCTAGGTCATGTGTTAGGCTTTTAAAATTTTAAAAGCCTGAAAACTATTTTACAAAGTGGTTTTACCATTTTAATCCCTTTAAAAATATTTTATTTATTTTTAGAGCAAGGGGAAGGGAGAAAGAAAGAGAGGGAGAAAAACATCAATGTGTGGCCACCTCCTATGTGACCCCACTGGGGACCTGGCCTGCAACTCAGGCATGTGCCCTGACTGGGAATAGAATCTGTGACCCTCTGGGTTTGCAGGCTTACACTCAATTCACTGAGCCAACACCAACCAGGGCTGTTACCTATACTATAGGTATGCAGGGGTATCTTACTGTAGTTTTAATTCTATTTTCCTAAAGAGTAATGATATTGAGCATCCTTTTATATTCCTTTTCACCATCATACATCTTTGAAGAAATATCTAAAAACAATCTCTTTTTACTGAGTTGTTTCATTTTTTATTCAATTTTAAGAGTTATTTATATATTCTGGGTGGAAGTCCTTTGTGGGGTATATAATGTAAAAATGTTTTCCCACGTTCTGAGATTTCTCTCTTTAGTCCCTTAAAAATGTCTTTGGAGAGCAAAAGCTCCTAATGTTGATGAAGTTCAAGGTGACATTTTGTAACGTGGTGCAGAGTGGGGTGAGGGTCCCTGAAAATATTTCCCATAGCCCATGGTTGAGAGATGGGGGAAGGGAAGGATATGGAAGTTATGATACTTTTCACAATGAAAGGCAAGTTAATAGTTATGCGGCCACCCCAGATGAAATGTGGACATGACTAGAGAGTACCCAGTGTCTTGGGATGTAGCCAGGGAGTTTATATTGTGCCTTTGCAAGAGGCAGGAAGGTGGAGGTTCCCTTGTCCCAGGGTACTCTTGCCCTGACTAAAGATGGCAGCCAAAAGAAGGCAGAAGATATAGGGGAACTGGCAAAGGTGGCACACTGTAGGAGGGGCCGGTATGAGGTCACATAGGAAGCTCCAGGTCAGCATTTGAAATCAGGGTAAACAGCCATTGGGTAGCAGCCATGTAGTTTCAAAAGGTGTGGAAGGGCCTCGTCATAGGCCATAAGGTCAGTAATGAGTGACAGCAAGAAGGAAGGCAGCCATGAGGAAGGCCATGAAGTACAGGGATTCAGCCATGAGGTCTGGTGTGTAAGGAGGTGCCATCTGTTTTGGAGTAAGGAGAAGCCATGCAGTTTTGGATTAAGAACTTCGGCAAAAAAAGAGGAGATCCGCTGGGAAACCTGCATGGAGAGCATGGTGGCAGCTGATGGAGCTGGGGATTGTGGGGACTTGCCAAACCATGCATTTATTTTGGGAGACACCCAGAATGCTGAACTGTGACAGGAGAATGCTGACATCTGCTTTTCTGAAGGACATATGGAGAGCCCACTCTCTTGGGATTGTGTGCCTTTTTGGACCCCACGATGACCCAGTATAACATGGCACATGCTTTCCTGTAGTTCTACATGGAGGCTGACACCATACCCCAGATCCTGAAGAAGAAAGCTACTGCGAGAGGATGGGGACTCTGAAATCCACGCATGTACCTTCCAGGGAGAATGTAGAACTGTTTGCCCAGCCAGCTTAAGAACAGATAAGAATACGGGGAACTTTAGGGCTTCTGGCATATAGCCTGGTGGGGAGCAAGAGACATGCCGGGTGCTCCCAGTGCTGCCCCTCCCCCTGAGGTTGGAGTCTTGTAAGTAAAAATCTGTTTTCCTCCACACTAATTGTTAGGTCAGGCATCAAGGAACCATGTGCACAGACCCCAGATTGCTCGCTTATAATTTTGCCATTTATGAATCATGATTTTTGGTGTTCTATTTAAGAATTTTTGCTCAGTCCAAGGATACAGGGATTTTCTGTTTTCTAGGTTTATCCGTTTTGTGTTAACTTTTGTATCAGTTGTAAGGTATAGATCCAGTTTAATGTTTTGCATTTAGCTATCCAATAACTGCAGCACTATCTGTTGAAAAAGTATACTTTTCAAATTGCCTTTATATATTTGTTGAAAATCAATTAACCATATGTGTGTGAGTCTATCCTGGACTCTCTATATCACACTATCCTGATTATTGTGGCTTTGTAAGTCTTGAAATTAGATCATGTCAACATTCCAATGTTACTCTTTGAAAAGTTATTTTGGCTATGGTAAGTTCTTTGTATTTCCATGTGGATTTTAGAATTACGTTGGTAGTTTCTACAAACCCTTTTGAGATTTTGACTGAGATAGCATTGCCTATATAGGTCAATTCAGGTTTTCTCTTATTTTTCTTGGCAAATGTACATTTCAGTGCACAGGTTTCATACAGATTGAACCCTAAATATTTAATAATTGTTATTATAAACAGCATTGTTTTTTAATTTCAATTTATTTGCTGCTATTGTACAAATTGATATTTATGTAGTTAGGCTCCTGCAAGTTTTCTAACATTAATTAGAGCAGCATTTTTTTTTGTAATTTTCATAGAATTTTCTACATGGGTGATCATATCATCTGTTTAATAAAGACCATTTTACTTCTTTTCCAATCTGAATGTCTTCCTTTCCATCTCACTGCACTGGCTAGACTGCCATCAGTACAGTCTTGAATAGAAGTAGTGACAGCAAGCATCCTTGTCTTGTTCTTATCTTTGTTCGAAAACATTCAGTCTTTCACTATTAAGTATAATGTTATAAGTTTCCATAGATGCCTTTAATAGGTTGAACATATGAAATGTAGTAATAATAATTCTTTTAATACTACTGTTTATTAACTTTTATTTTCTGTGTCATTTTCACTTTTTTGTTGGTTTTATTCTCTTTGATCATATTTTACTATTTCTTTGTATACTTGGAAATTTTTGACTGAATGCTAGACAATTATTCTACCTTTTTGATGGCTGAATATTTTTGTATTCCTTTAAATATTTCTGAACTTTGTTTGGGAGTACTGTTAAATTACATGAACACTGATTCACTGATTCATCCAAATCTAGCTTTTAATTTTCATTAGGAGAGACCATGACAGTATTTATTCTAGGGTTAGTTTTTTTCCCCTCTACTCAGGCAAAATGTTGTGAGTTCTCTACCTGATGCCCATGAATTAGAAAGTTTGCAATCTGGGTAGGAGGAACTGGAACTAGCCTAGTGTTAGTTTGGGGGATTTCCCCCTGTGATCCTGTCAGCACAGCTGTTTGCCTGATTTAGGATAGTTTCCTCACAGGCACAGGGAGAAGCCTCCAGGGTGATTTTCAGCAGATGCCTGCAGCGTCTCTCTGCAATCTCTTCTTCAGAGACCTGACCTGCAAACTGGCTGCCTTGCTCTCCCTGGACTTCTGGCCTTGCCTCCTCAAGTCAGGATGCCCACTGGGGCCCACCTGGGTTCCTTCTCTCCAGGCCTTGGCCTGAAAACACTATCCTTGCAGTTGGCAGGGGCAAATAACTGCGTTTTGCCATATATGATGTGCTTCCATGTATAACAAACACCCATATTTTTGGCCCAAACTTTAAGGAAAAAAATCTTTTGTCTTAATTCAATTTTTATGTATTCCTTTTAGACACAAAACTGATGATCGTATTCCAGTGTATTATTTTGCATATGGATATCATTACTGCTTTCTAGAGTTACACTTTTAATGCATAAGCATAAATGAAAGAATTAAAAACATTTATGTAGATACAGAATTAGTAGTAGCCATGTATAATGTACACCCTTATTTTTCCCTCAAAAATTTGGGCAAAAATGTACATGTTATGCATGGCAAAATATAGTAATGTTACTCATTGCTTATGTTTAATGTTTTAAAAAGCACTTTTCCCCACATATTTTGCCTAAAAAAAACTTTCTTTTTTGTTTCAGATAGAAGGGTGAATATGTAATTCCCTGTTACTTCATCTGAGATATATAAGCTCTTTTTTCTCCCTTAAGGTCACTTTCCCCCACCCTAAACATAATTCTCATCTTTTCCACCCTTCCAATATGGTTATACCATTTTGGGGGAGTTAGATCTAAATTCAGTATCTACCTTATACTGGTTAAGTAAATGTCCTAGATAACTGAGACACAGTTTTTACTATGATTAGTTTTTATGTCCTGCTCAGTATTTTGTTTATAATACTTGTTTTTATTTTTAATATCCTGTTTTTATTTACATAATCTAATACAATTCAGGGGAAAAGGGGAAGGGTTTGCAGAACAAGTATAAAGGACACATGGACAATAACAAGGGGGGCAGGAAACAGGGGGGAGGTGGGAAGGGCTGCAGGAATAAAAGGCAGAAAACTGTACTTGAACAACAATTTAAAAATTTTATAAATAAATAAAATAAAATAAAAATGTACACATGGATGCAAAAAAGAGATTTTTATCTTTCAGTCTACAAATGTTAGTATTAATAGTTAATTTTCTGAGCAAGGAAGTGTACTGGGAATTGTGGTCCTTGTTCTCACAGAATGTAGACTTAAAAAATAAATAATGACTAAAGAAATGTCTATTATGCCCTGGCTACGTGGCTCAGTTGGTTGGAGCATCATCCAGACACCAAAAGGTTGCCAGTTTGATCCCCAGTCAGAGCCCATGCCTAGGTTGCAGGTCAGATCCAGACTGGGGCATGTACCAGAGGCAACCAATTGATGGTTTTCTCTCTCTCCATTCTTCTCTTTCTAAACCAATAAACATAGCCTCAGGTGAGGATTTAAAAAAAGAAATATGTATGATAGCCATGCGATAAGTGCAGAGTACAGGTAAGACTTAAGCTTTTCTGCTCTGCTGGAATAACTGAGGAAAGTTCTGCTGTGAAGGGGAGACTGGAGAGTCGTCTCCTGGCCAGGTGGTAACACAGAGGGGGAGCAACAGCCACAGAGAAAAGGCAAAGAGGCTGTGCAAGGATGAGAAGTGCACACAGCAAGCAAGGGGTGCAGTGGAGAGGATATTGCAGGGACAGGGGGCTATGCAAGTGATCAGTGAAACTGGATCGCAGGCCGAGAAGCGGACCACAGACTGATGAATATAGACAGGCTACTACTAATTGTTGACTAGTTACAGAAAGACATCTGTAAGGGATTGCAAAGGTTGAGTGAAGAAGCAAATACTTGTATTAATGAAGAGAATATATATACCTGAAATGGCTTATCTGATTTTCTAAAAGGAAAGACAGTCTCTCTTTTATCTCCTCAAATTTCTCTTTTTCTTCCACTGAAACTGTTCCGATTCCATCAGGCCTGGAAAACAATCAGAATCAGTAATTTATATTGATAGAAAATTTACTTTTAAATATTCTCTAGCTCTAGCTATATGTACATGTATTTTCCTGAAAAATCCAAATAATTAGTAAAAGTGTGTATAGGTCTACAGTATACATATAATTGTGTCTACAATGAAAATTCATTGGAGATATTTGTAGCTTTTTGCTTCACAATTTGACCCAAAATAAATGGAATTATTCTCTTTTAGATAGACTTCAAGGTAAAAGATTACAATAAATATTTTCCAGATATACAGAAAACAATGACTAGTCCTTGAAAATGGCAGTGAAAAGTGTTCTATAGCGGTATCAAATATTTGCCTCGTTAAATGAATACCCTTTGAATGGAAATATTTTTAAAAAAATACTGAATGGAAGCTACAATGTCTTAACTGCTTCCCTTCTAAATTAAGGTAATGTAAAACAGGGGATTTAATTTAAATTCTTGAAAGCAACATAGTCATTCTGATTCAGATACAAGTAATGATTCACTCTTTCACTTTTTTGTTTGTTTAAATTTGTGAGCATATAAATACAAATAAATCTTTGAATGAAAACATACAGAGAGGCTAACATGGGACTTCTGGCCAAGATGGAGGCATAGGGTAGATACATTTTGCCTCCTCATGCAACCAAAAGAGGGATAACAATACTTTAAAAACAAAAAAATAACCAGAACTGCCAGAAAAGAAAACTATAGAAGTCTGACAACCAAGCAGTTAAAGAAAAAACATTCCTCCAAACCTGTAGGAGGGGTGGAGATGGGCAGCAGGGGTAGAAAGGACTTGGGGCAAAGTGGTGGCTTGAGGACCAGGGCAGGTGAGGCAGTGGCTGGTGGAGCAGTCAGTCCCACACTCGCCTGCCAATGAACCAGGAGGAACAACTCAGGAGTGAGACAGACCTCTCAACCCAGGGTGCCAGTGCAGGGAAATAAAGCCTCAAAACCTCTGATTGAAAACACCTGTGCAGGTTGATGTGGCAGGAGAAACTCACAGAAGAGCCTCACAGAAGAGTTCCTTGGAGAGACCCTCAGGGTGCTAGAATGTACACAAACCCACCCACCCAGGAATCTCCACCAGAAGGGCCCAATTTGCTTGCGGGTAGCAGGGGAAGTGGCTGAAAGTCAGCAGAAAGCTGAGCAAGCAGCACTGTTCCCTCTCAGACACCTCTGCCACATACAGCCTCACAGTGCAGCAATGTGGATTGCTCCACCCTGGTGAACAACAAAGGCTCTGCCCCTTACAACCCGTTAATAGATGCGCCGAGACAAAAGAAAACATGGCCCAAATGAAAGAACAGATCAAAGCTCCAGAAAAAATACAAATAAGTGATGAAGAGGTAGTCAACCTATCAGATGCACAGTTCAAAACACTGGTAATCAGGATGCTCTTAAAAATGGTTGAGTGTGGTTGCAAAGTAGAGGAAAAAGTGAAGGCTATGAAAAGTGAAATGAAGGAAAATGTACAAAGAACCAACAGGGATGGGAAGGAAACTGGCTTGGCTTCCCTCAGATGGACAGTTTGGAGCAAGAAATAAACATTCAGCCAGAAGAGAATGAAGAAACAAGAATTCAACAAAATGAGGAGAGGCTTAGGAACCTCCAGGACAACTTTAAATGTGCCAACATCCAAATCATAGGGGTGCCAGAAGGAGAAGAGGAAGAGCAAGACATTGAAAACATAATGGAGGAGAACTTCCCTAATCTGGCAAAGGAAATAAATAGACTTGCAGGAAGTCCAGGAAGCTCAAAGAGTCCCAAAGAATTTGCACCCAAGGAAGCACACACCAAGGCACATCATAATTGCATTACCCAGGATTAAAGAGAAGGAGAGTATTCTAATAGTAGCAAGAGAAAAAGGAGACAGTTACCTACAAAGGAGTTCCCATAAGACCATCAGCTGATTTCTCAAAAGAAACCTTACAGGCAAGAAGGGCTGGAAAGAAGTATTTGAAATCAGGAAAGGCAAGGACCTCCATCCAAGATTGCTCTATCCAGCAAAGCTATTGTTTAGAATGGAAGGGCAGGTAAAGTGCTTCTCAGATGAGGTCAAGTTAAAGGAGTTCATCATCACCAAGTCCTTATTATATGAAATGTTAAAGGAACTTACCTAAGAAAAACAAGAAGATGAAAACTATGAACAGTAAAATGACAACAAACTCACAACTATCAACCACTGAACCTAAAAAAAAACCAAACAAATTAAGCAAACACTAGAACAGGAACAGAATCACAGAAATGGAGATCACCACATGGAGGGTTATCAGTGGGGAGAGGGAGAAGTCAAAATTGGGGAAAAGGTACAGGGAATAAGAAGCATAAATGATAGGTACAAAATAGACAGGGGTGGTAAAGAATAATATGGGAAATAGAGAAGCCAGAGAATTTATATGTACCACCCATGGACATGAACTAAAGGGGGAATGCAGGTGGGATTGCAGGTGCAGTGAGGAGGGGAATACAGGAGAGAAATAAATGGGACAACTGTAACAGCATAATCAATAAAATATATTTAAAAAAACAGAGAGAAAAGATCAAATATGTTTCAGAATTTTCATGCTGAACCAATATCCCTATGGAACCAGTGTGAATTTTCATTCGGACTTTTAAAAGGAGCTATAAACATGAAAAAAATCTTCTTTTACTAAGATTAAGATATAAAATTTAATATATATCTAATAGCAGGGATTTAGAATTTATTATTTATCAATTTAAGTATCATGGTATAGTGATCATCTAAAATTCTGAAAATATAAAATTTAACTGTTTATTAACACAGATCAAAAAGTATAATAATTTTGTATTCATTTTAAAATCCATATGTATCAAGAAAATATATCTTTTTGCATTTGGTAGGTAACACCAATCATTGCTTCCCCTATCAGCTCACTTTTCTAAAAATATGTTTCCTCACCTGAAAACATTTTTTCACTGCCTTTAGAGAGAAAGGAAGTGAGAGGGAGAAACACTGATGAGAGAGAGCTACATGAATGGTTGTCTCCTATGTGCGTCCAGAGCAGAGATCAAACTCACAACTCCTTGGTTACAGGATGACACTCCAACCCACTGAGACACGTCAGCCAGGGTCAAAGATTATATTTTAATTCCCAAAAGATTTATGCATTTCATTCTGACTTACTAATATTTAAATTTTTTGTAAGTAAAAACGTACTATGAACCCCCCCAAAAAAACACCCACCAAAAAACCCCAAATAATTAAAATAACTTTCCAGTAGGATTCTTATTTGATATTCCCACTGTTTTAAAAATAAATATATATGTGTATGTGCACCTATGATACTTGTAAACTAATCAATTAGGAAAAAAGCAATTAAATGTCAAGGTTATACCTGTATCTCATTGACATAAAGACCTTTTATTAATATCAAAGCATCATTTAAGTTTCCAATTTTTTCCAATATAGAGTAAATAATTTATTTCAGAAATTCACATGCTGCTAGGATTTATGCTTTGGAAATACTTCTTACAATTATATTTTGCTCCTAAATAGGGAAAGACTAATATTTTAACTACTAGTCAGAATAACACATCACATTTTTCCCATCAGAATGCATTTGAATACTAACTACAGAAAAAACTAGTGGCAAAATATTGGTCTTTCTAATATTTATAGGAAGAAAAGAAAGTGTTACCTGTAAATTATAAAATAATGAAATATGAGCCAGCTCCAGTATTTTGTAATAATTGAATAATGAATTTTTTTCACATATTACTTCAGAGCCAATTCTCATTGAGAGGGAGGTGGGGAGTAAGGGGCAGGGGAGGCTGGGATGGGAAAAATAGACAAAAAACTGTACTTGAAAAAATAACTAAATAAAATTAAAAAAAAAAAAACAGATGAATTTGTGATAATAAAATAGTATAAGTAAATACTCTTTAAAAAAAAAAAACAAAAAAAAAAAACCCAGACTGTAACTTATGAATGAATGCATGTTGGCAATGATCACAAAAGTTCAACTGGAAGTTCTACATAATCATTCATTTGGAATTTGGGCATTCTGACAAAAACTATAACTACATTATATTATATAGTAGATAGCAATAAAAACTCATATGGCAGAATTGCAGGTGGTTATCTCACTAAATTCACCGATGCAAACTTGATGGAAAAGAGCAAAGAACTTGTTCTGATAATGGCCATGCCCTTTCACTTTGCTCTCTGACAGATGCCACATGGTTATACATGAGAGAATTTTACTGTTTGTTTCAACTGTCACTACAGTAACACAGTAAGTCATCCTGTCATATAAACTTCCCTGGGTTCATAGACTACCTATGGAACACAGCCAGTGGTTCAGGCAATGAAAAATGAAAAAGGTAACATCAGGAGAACATCACTTATACCAATCTTCACTAAGATTAACCTATTAGACCCAGTAAAGAGCTGTCAATTTACCTGTGCATTACTAAATTTGGTACATACCTGACATGGTAAATAGAACATTTAATATTTTGGAATTGCTATTATTCACATGTTGTTATTTTATTGTAGATATATATTAGGTATATGAAGTGGCATTCTATATCAAAATTATTGTAAGTGGCAACTTTGTTGCAGTCAAGCCTAAAGGTAACAGCTCTTTCTAAAATCATTCTTCCTAATAAATGCAAATACTTCCTGTCTCATCAATATATTCCTGTTATGGTCATTATTAAAACAAACACAGCAATTATCAATTACAAAATGCTAAATATGTGCCTGGTACTGTGCTGTTTCATGACATGCATGTTGTGTTACAACATGAGATGCTCACGACCATCCTTTCTCTAGTCTCCAAGGAAGGAGGCTGCGAGGGTTCAAAAAGGTTAGGCTGCTTCTTAAATGTAACACAGCTGGTAAGTGCTAGAGCTTGGACTTTTGCATTCCAAAGCCAATGCCCTCTTTTCCTTCCCCTGTTTTTCACAGAAAATAATAAAGAACAATTTTTTAAAATCCTATTAGAAAATGGAAGCCTTAT